CCATTTGAGGGTGGATATGTGAAATTGACCTTTTGAGGGGGGTTGTAGTTATTGGTAATATTAAAGTTTAGGATATGGAGTGAATGGCTGAGATGGGGAATAGGAGAAGATCTTTGAAAGAGAGGAGCTCAGGGTGCCAAGAGGCCAGCATGATGGAAGTATCATTTACATATATGTGAAAACCTCTAAAAAATTAAAGGAATAGAGTCAGACAGAGTGACAGTGAATCAGAAGCTATAAGATCATTGCTAAGTGAAGGGCTGTGACCCACGAGTACATAGATGGCAACAGTAGGACCTGACTGAAAACAGCAGAGCTCTGTCCCTCAATAAAAGCAACTAATGAACTGGCAAAAATTGTCAATAAACTTTTAACAGAATTCTGGAATTTAGTAAAAATAACTTACAGCAACTGAAGAAAGGCTTAGTGAAGAAAGAAGCTGCTGCTTTGGGCTAAGAGAGCACTGTTATGTTATAAATTGCCTGCCTACTGTCCCTCAATGATGGCCATGAAGATAGAAGCCTGCACTCCTAGCGTAGATTGGTAATGCCAGAGGACACAAAAAATTGTGAGTTGCGACCTCTCTGGCTTTTCTCTGAAGGACTGGTGTAAGGGCCTGTTTTGTTTGGCTTGACTAGGAAGATCTCCAGAGCTGGGGTGGCTTTTGCCAAAAGGATTTGAAGGCACAGCTACTAGCTTTTGCAGCCTGGAACAAGAGACAGCAGTGAGAGAAGCAATAGAGAGACTGAAAGCCTGGGAAGAAAGAAGTTGGATAAGGAGATAGCATGTGCCAGGGAATTGGAACAAAAGGCCATGCTTATGTCCAGAACTGGATAAGTAATTAGAAAAGGGCTGAAAAGATCCTAAGCTTTTTCCTCTGGCTGGCATTCAGGCTCTGTGCAAGCAGGAAGTGAAGACTAGGAATTGTAAATGGCTTGCCCAAGTGTTGAGGCATGCCCGAACACAGAGCCAGTATGCAAAGACTGGGAGAGTGTTTTTTCTCTTTCTTTTTTCTTTTTTTCCGGGCTTCAGGCCCTTAAGAAAACTCAAAACAGTAGCTGACCACTAAGCTAACAACAGATTTCAGTGGCCACACACGACAATAATATAGACTTTATAAGTCGTCACTAAATAAGAAAACAACAGTAACCCACATTAAGCATCAACAAACCCCAGAGATGGGGCATAATTTGATTTTCAGAGTTGTCACATAATGGTCAAAATATCCAGTTTTCAAAAAGAGATAACGAGGTATGCAGTGAAATAAAGTATGGCTCATTCACAAGGAAAAAAATAAACAGAAACTATCCCTGAGCAAGCCCAGGAGATGGAATTACTAGATAAATAATTTAAATCATCAGTCCTAAATATGTTTATGATCTATAGGAAACCATAGGCCAAGAGCTAAAGGAAACCAGACAGAATATTAGTAAAGAAATAGAAATTATAAAAAAGGAACCAAACAAATTCTGGAGTAAAAAAGTAAGATAACTGAAATGAAAAATTCACTAGAGAGGTACAACAGCAGGTTTGAGACGGCTGAAGAAACAACAAGCCAACTTGATGAGCCAATTGAGGTTATCCGGTATGAGGAGCAGAAAGAGAAAAGAATGAAGAAAAATGAACAGTCTAAGAGACTAGAAGACACCATCCAGTACCATTATGTGTATTGGAGTCCCAGAAGCAGAGAGAAAAGGGACAGAAAGCATGTTTGAATAAATAATGGTTGAAAATTTCCCAAATGTGATGAAAGATGTGAATCTACACATTGAAGAAGCTCCACAAACACTGAGCAGGATCAACTCAAAGAGATCCACACCAAGACACATTATGCTCAGATTGTTGAAAGACAAAGATAATTTTGAAAGCAGCAAAACAGATATGACCCCTTGCATACAAAAGATCCTCAATAGGGTTAACAGTTGGTTTTTCTTCAGAAGGCATTGGGTGGCATATATAAAGTGCTGAAAGAACAAAACTGTCAGTAAAGAGTTCTGTATCCAGCAAAACTACCCTTCAGAAATGAGAGATTATGACATTCTAAGATAAACAAAAGCTGGGGGGAGTTTGTCACTAGTAGACCTGCCCTACAAGAAATGATGAGGAGAGTCCTTCAGGCTGAAATGAAAGGATACTAGACAGTAATTTGAAGCTATATGAAGAAATAAAGAATATTGGTAAAGGTAACTACATAGGTAAACAAAAAAGCCAAAATTACCAATATTATTGTAGTTTTTGGTTTGTAGCTCCTCCTTTTTTCTCATATGATTTAAAAGACAAAGGAATAAAAACAATTATAAATCTAATTGGAACATAATATAACAATATAAAAGGGGGAAGGATTGAGATGTATAGGTACAGAGTTTTTGTATACTATTTAAGCTAAGTTGGTATTAGTTCAAAGTACATTGTTAGAAGTTTAAAATATTAATTGCAGTATCCACTAGGAAAATAACTAAAAAACAAAGGAAAGAAGGGAATCAAAAAAGTACACTACAGAGAAAAAAATCAAACACAAAAGAAGGCAGTAATGGAAGAAATGAGGAACAAAAAATGATATATGTAGAAAACAAATAGCAAAATGGCAGAAGTCCTTCCTTGTCAGTAATTACTTTAAATGTAAATGGATTAAAATTTAGTAAATGGATTAAAATTTGTAATTAAAAGGCAGTTTGGCAGAATGTATAAAACATTCAGCTATATGCTTATCGTAAGACTCACTTTTATTTTTTTTTATTTTTTATTTTTTTTTCAACGTTTATTTATTTTTGGGACAGAGAGAGACAGAGCATGAACGGGGGAGGGGCAGAGAGAGAGGGAGACACAGAATCGGAAACAGGCTCCAGGCTCTGAGCCATCAGCCCAGAGCCCGACGCGGGGCTCGAACTCACGGACCGCGAGATCGTGACCTGGCTGAAGTCGGACGCTTAACTGACTGCGCCACCCAGGCGCCCCAAGACTCACTTTTAGATCAAAGATAGAAATGTGTTCAAAGTGGAAGTATGAAAATAGATATCCTATGTAAATAGTATCCAGGAGAGAGCTGGGGTGGCAATTCTAATATCGGGCAAGATAGACAAAAATTTTTACTGTAGACAGCAAAGGACATTATATATTGATAAAAGGGTCAACCCATTAAGAAGATAAAACAGTTATAAACACATGTGCACCAAATAGAGCCTCAAAATACATGAAGCATACACTAACAGAATTGAAGGGAGAAATAGTTCTACAATAATTGTTAGAGATTTCCATACCCCCTCTCATTAATGCATAGAACACCTAGACAAAAGGAAACAGGACTTGAACAGCCACTATAAACCAATTAGACTTAACAGACACACACAGAAAACTACCTAGCAACAACAGATTACATATTCTTCTCTAGTTTACTCGGGACTTTCTCCAGGATAGACCCTATCTTAGACCACAAAACACTTCTCAGTAAATATAAAACATTGAAATCATACAAAATATTTTCTTTGACCACACTGGAATGAGACTAGATCACAGCAGTAGTGAGGGAGAATGACTGGAAGTTCAGAGCTGAGTGGGCTTTAGGGGAGGGTGGAGGGAGAATAAATACTCTGAAAACAACTATAAAAGAGCAAAGATGACTCATACCCCACCTGTAGGCCTAGTAGTGTGAGGGTCTGGGGAAAATAACCACCACTTGACTGGGTTACAGTGAGAGTACTGTTCCTGTAGAGTGCTAGGGTCTGCTCGAGCAAGAAGGTGAAGGGAACAGAGGAGAGGTTCGGGATATATAGGGGGTTTTGCTGAGGATGGATTATGAATTCCAGAGGATTCCATGGAAGTTTTTCAAGAATGCAGAAAGGTGGGTTAGGACAGGACAGGGATTGTGCAGAGCAATATGAGGATTAGAGTATGGGAGTTGATGTTTGGCCTGGGAGTCAGGGGCTTCTTGTGAACTCATTAAAACAGAGATAATGGGAATAATGAGAGTGTTCCTGGTGGATCCAAGTCAGATAATAAGCTTTTGTGGGTTTGCTCTGAATCCCTGACATTTTGTTTTTATGGGAAAATGTTTTGATAATAAATAATCATTTATGTATTTAGAATTAAACTTGTTAAGTTGAAGATGTACCTGTCTTAACAAATAGAGTGAACAAAGACTTCTTTATATGATATCCATTAACAAAGACTTCTTTATATGATATCCATTAGTTTGGTTAGCTTCCTTTGTTATGTCCATAACACCTATCGCAATTGTGGGGAGCCTCACAAAGAACTTGTTTTCAGCGCTGAGTAGAAGCAGAACATAATGTATTGTCACTGCTTTTTATTTGCATTTTGCCGTTTAGTAATTGCCAGTTGTCCTGGCTTCAGTCTTCCATTCATCTGACCCTGAGCAGTTTAAAAATTCGGAGAAAGTCTTTTTGTTTCTGTGTAGGGTCCACAGGGCCGGCTTGGTTGGAATTGACCATTCTGTATTTTAAAATGTTGATTTATCCATGTGTAATAAGTATAGAGACCTGTTTGGAAGGGGAAATCAATTGACAAGCAGATACACTTAGCACAAAACCGCAGAAATAAAAGAAGGGGGAGAAAAGTATAAAGCAGACACAGATAGTTTGGCACTTCCAAATTTGTCATTCTTGTCTGTCTGCATCTCCACTGAGAACTACTTGGAAAAGTGAGTTAAGAAAACACACATAAAAACTGAAACCAAAAGTAATTATTATGCAGGGTAAAATATCACTTATTCTCTTTAATTTTCAGATTTAAAAAAAATATTAGCATGTACTGTGAAGTGTGTCCATTTTTGAAACCTTTCTTTGTGTTCATCAGAAGATGAAAAGGGCTGTTTACCTAATTATCTTTGTCCTCAGTTCAGATGTCATGTATGATCAGGAAGAGCAGTGAAGCTTATTGTTGATCTAGAGTTATTTGATGTAATTGTTCTTAGTTATTGGTAGGTAAAGAATATGATTTTAGTTGTACTTTATGCACTAAACAGAAACTTTTTTTTTTTCAAGGAACCAAATGGAGAGACTCCTTCATCTTTATACAGAGTTGCAGCAGTCCTTCTACAATTTAATCTTATTGATTTAGATGATCTTTATGTACATGTAAGTCAAGTGGGCTGCTAAGGATATTTGGCTGTCTATCCCAGGGGTGGGAAGAGGAGTAGGCAGCCATATAGTACTTCAAGATTGGTCCTAGGCTCTCCGGTTCTAATTTTGGAAGCCCTAATGCATTATTGCTTTGTGTTTACTTTATGAAGTGAATGAATGTAATTCTTTGACAAACTGTGGAAATTAAGTACCTTTTGTCACAGAGTTTGAGGTTGGCTATGAAATTAAAGCTGTTAATGTCAGCAAGGTGTATCTCATTGAGAGGGAGCCAAGTCCTAATCAATGTGGTTTTAGATTTTTCTGTTATACACAAATTGTCAGAAATATGGGATTACCTAAGATACTTTTTCCTTCTTCCCAAAATGTTAATTGTAGGCATTCAAGATGAATGGGGAACTGTATATTTAAAAAACAAACAAATAGTAATTGCCATTTAAAACCATTTAAAAACCATCAAAACCATTTAAAATGGTTTTCTTATGTTTTTAATGTTTTTAATGGTAATAAATGACTGGTATTGTGCTTCTGTTGCTGGACCCAGGATCTGGAAGGGTGTGTATGTTAATGTGATTGATGACCTTCAGTTTAGCAACAGTTTAGCCTGTCAATTTGAAAAAACTAGGTTTGTAGTATAGAAATTCCTGTTTATTTGGTTATATAGTAGGATATCTATGGACTTAACTCTGTCCAAAGCTGACAACATCGTCATTGTCTTTGAAATCATTTTCTGACTTCCTTGTCTGTCATGTACTATAGTTACAGACTAAAACTTAGTCTCTACCTTGGAAGCAGTCATAGTCTAGCAATGGAGAAGACATTTTGCATTATATAGTAACTACTATATTGGAGGTACTCACAAAGTGCTGTGGGGGCTCAGTATAGATAGTAACCATGTCTGTTTGGGGGCATTTTGGAAGGCTTTTCCAGACTAGTGATGTTGAACTGGGATGTTGGTAGATGACACGGTGTTGGCCTGGCTTTAAAGGCGGGAAGCTTTGTAGGTAGAATTAACTGAATATAAAGGCAGGAGTATTGAAGGGCTTCATTATTATCTTAGGGGAACATCAGGAAGCTCCGAGTACTTGGAGCCTCGGGTAGTTTATGGGGAGGTGGATGAAGATGGAGAAGAGTAGGTTGGGGCTACACTTTCCAGGGCCTTTTAAGAGCCATAGTAAGGAGTTCGGATTTTTTCTTGTTGGGAGTAGAGAGCCCTTCAAGATTTAAAGTAGAAAAGTGATGTACAAACTGAGAATATGGAAAATTTGTCAGTAAAAGGGGAATTCAAAGACAGGTATGAGTCTATAGGCAAGTATAGACTGGTAGGACAAATGGAAATATGATAGATGGTGATAGATTTATTACTGAAATGTTTGAGTTTGACAATAAATGCAAGTGGCCTAAGTGTTCCTGTTAAGGTGTCAAAGATTTTGAGATGGGATTAAAAACCAGTTTATTGTTTATTTTTCACGAGACTTCTAAAACCTAAGGACAGATAAAGGTTGAAAGTAGAAGGGTGGGAAAAATATACCAGGGAAATTATTGCTGTTACAGACAAAATAAACTTTTTGGCAAATAGAGATAGTCACTTCATAATTAATAAAGTTGTGTTCTCTAGGAAGATAAAACAGTTGTAACTTTGTATGCACTTAATTGCATATTCTCAAAATACACAAAACTAGAAATTGAGAGTACTGTAAGAAACTTACAGGGGTGCCTGGCTGGCTCAGTCAGTAGAGCATGTGACTCTTGATCTCGGGGTTGTGAGTTTGAGCCCCACATTGGGTGTAGAGATTGCTTAAAAAAATAAAATGTTGAAGAAAAAGAAACTTACAGTTCATTATAATGGGATATTTTTAGAGACAGTTGTATTAATCTAGGTAAAAGATGAGGACCTACAGCAGGTACATAAGTAGAGCAATAAAAATGGGTTTGATGGCCAGTGGAGAGCAGAAAGAATGAGAAAAAGTCTTGCTTACCTTCTTGCATCAGTCCTTAGTGACTTTTCTCCCATTTTTGACTAATGGGGATGAAGTCTGCAATATGTAGCTTAATCTTTCACTATGTTTCTTTTCATTGTTTACTGATTATTTACTTCGCATTAGACTTAGTTACTGAAATATATTATGCATTTCTGAGGGCAGGAACACTGAGTGCTTAGAAGAAACTAGTAAATAACGATTTGTTGGCTGTATTTTTCTGTGTCTGGGTTTTTTATCTATTTTATGAAATATCTACATTAGCCATCTTCCACGTGTACAAGATGGCTGTACTAGAGATAACGTGATCCTTTTTCATAATGGAGAGTTGACTGTACACATGCTGCTTTCTCTTTTGTAATAAACTAGAAACTAGTTTGTGACTTAAGTCAAATAGTAGGTATTAGGAAATGAAAAGTGAGATGTCAAGTTGTTCATAATTTTTCTACTTGAGATTTTTCATCTAGAGGAAATAAATTTACCCCTTCATATAATTCAGTAGCTAACCTCTCCCAAATTGGATCCTTATGAAGTACTTTTTAAATATGGAGTTTGGCCTTTAAAGGGGAATTCTGATATTTTTCATGGAACAGGCATACATTTTCTTGGGTACGTTAATAAATTGAATGGTAAGCATCACTGTTGTATTATTGTATTAATTTAGGACCTCTAACAGAAAGAAGACAAAAGAACTTCGAACTGCTACTTGATTTTAAAAGGTGTACAAAATTCAGGTACTTAACTTTGTTAGATTATAAGAAAATAATTGAGAGAAGCTTATTTTGAAAGCAAACCATGGCCATTAATAGGCTAGGCCTTATTTACAGTTTTATCAATTCAGGGAAGATAGTGTTTGCTTTTTATATGTGCAAACAGTATTAGCTATTTTATGAAACATTAATGAACCATTTTTAGCTTCTTCCAGCTGATAATTGCATTATGGATGAACACAAACGAGAAATTGTAGAAGCTAAGCAAATTGTTAGAAAACTTACGATGGTTGTATTGTCTTCTGAAAAAATCGACGAGCGAGAGAAAGAAAAGGAAAAAGAAGAGGAGAAAGTAGAGAAGGTATATAGTTCATTTTTATAAGATTAACATTGTCTTCTGGATTTAGAATTTGAAATTTAACTTGTAATAGTTCATCAACTTATGGGAGAATAATTTATTAACTTTAAATGTAGTGAAATCTGGTTTTTGGAATACTAATTTGCAAAGGTGGTTTTAGTTTTAATCTTATTGGCATCTTCCCAAAAGAGGCCGCTATGTTTTTCTTATACAAATTTCAAAGTGTATTCTAAGTAAAATATATGACTATATTTGTGCTCTGTGTATTAATGTCTCTCAAGTCCTAAGGGGATTCTCAAATATGAATGAATTCTAGTTCCCTGTGGCACAATAAAGCATTAAATAGAACTTGATTTAATTCCAGGTCTATAAACTCTCATGCTGGGTCTGCTAAATCAAAGAGCAAATCCTGTTGTTTTTTTCAATAGCTAAAAAAAACTTTGATTTTACTTTCAGGAAAATACTGCATTTTCCATGGTGGCAGCCGTTGTTGACATACAATATTGTCGTGTTTAGCTCAGTTTTTTAAATTAAAAAATGCCGAGATTTATTGGTGCCTATATTCTGAGGATCTTCACTATAATTGTTCATTTTTAGCCGCCTGACAACCAAAAACTTGGTTTGTTGGAAGCCTTGTTGAAGATTGGTGATTGGCAGCATGCACAGAACATTATGGATCAGATGCCTCCGTACTATGCAGCTTCACATAAGCTAATAGCCCTTGCTATTTGCAAGCTCATTCACATAACTATAGAGCCTCTCTACCGAAGGTATGTTACTATATGCTTTTCTAATCATTGAGGTAGAAATAGCTTAGGACTACAAAAAAATCTGCATGTTTATCTTGTCTCCTCAAACAAGCAAGTACTTCTGTATGTTTTATTAGAAGGTAAGAACCATTCAGGGCGTATCAGTCTTATACGTATTAATCAGTGACTTGTCTCCTAATGTCTAGACCAGGTGGTGCAGAATGCGTGCTGCAATGCAGTCTAAAAATTGTAGCTTAGATGTCTAGGTTGGGTGTGCTCCATTGAGAGTGAAAACACCATTCTTCTGTTCTTGACTTTTCCTCCTCTCTTGGGGGTGGGCAGAGAATTCCTAAGGTTTTTACTTAGTGTAATTTCCCTCTGTCCTGGGTTGAGTGGCTCTGAGTGAGGACATTGCCTCTCTGCTTGCCTTACCTCTCCTGGCATATAGGCTGCTGTTCTGAAAATTGCTAGTGCAGCCTTTCTCATCATCCCTAGTTACTGTGTCCGTCCACCCGTCCTCTAGCCCCCAGCCTGCTTGCAGGTTACTTAGGAGCAGTACTGGCAGCAGCTCTGGCTTCAGCCCCACAGATCAGAGCCTGCGTCCAAGGCCCCAGTCTTGTGACTCGTGCGTAGCTGCCGGCTGCTGCCTTCAGTGCCACTGGGGCTGTGGACCTTGAAGGCTTCTTCTCAAAGAGTGACCCCTGTGACTCCACAGCGGGACACCTGCTCAGCAGGTGAGAACTCTGGGCATGCTGTCCTTTTTAGTGTGACACCTTCTTTCATTATGCTGCTCACCTTCCCTACACCACCCACCTCATACTCAGTCTAAGTAGGGGAACCCAGACTGAGAAATGTTTATTTACTTGAACCACTGTTGTTATATCCATATTTTTCTGTTTTATCTTCCAGTGTCTCTGAGGTCCATCCCTTGTTCCCCATTCCCATATCCAAATTCCTGATACTGGCCAAGTTTAACTAAGAACAAATTCATACAGTGTATGTTAAATGTTACTTGAAATCTGCGTTTCTCTGATTTCCTTATGCAGTTCATTGGAAACATTCTCTAAGCTCTGGCTTTTTCCAAATGAGTATTGTTTTTGTCTTTTTCTACCCGATAAATTATCTGTATTAATGAAGTTAGGCACAAGTGATATATAGAAAGCAAATTTGAGCAAGAAAAGCTTTACTTACTGGTAACTTAAAGTGGGGTATTACATAGTATACATATAAATTTTGCTTCTTTTTATAGAGTTGGCGTTCCTAAAGGTGCTAAAGGCTCACCTGTTAATGCTTTGCAAAATAAGAGAGCACCAAAACAAGCAGAGAGCTTTGAAGATTTGAGGAGAGATGTCTTCAATATGTTCTGTTACCTTGGTCCTCACCTTTCTCACGACCCCATTTTATTTGCAAAAGTGGTGCGCATAGGCAAGTCATTTATGAAAGAGGTTAGTAAGATTTTTTTTTTCTTCCAAGCAGAAAACTGAATTTTGGAGTGAAGGTGTTCTGCGTATATTTGTGTTATGTGTATCACTAGGAATAAAAAGAAAGTGAACTTAATTTAAGAAAAGTGTATTTTGAGTAAGGTTTGGGGAAAAGTCCATTGTGTCCTAACCACACACACATGCGTGCGCGCACACACACACACACACACACACACACACACACACACACAAGCGCGCGCGTTAATCTAGGTAGAATATTAGTCAAGTCGCCCGCATAGGAAAATATACTTTGGACAAGTGATTGCTTTTTGAATCCCCTTTTCTTCTGATTTATTTTCTTGGCTGCAGTTTTGAATCATTGTCATTATTTGTATGAAGTCAGACTGTTGAGGAGCCATTCTTTTCTAGTAAACTTTGTGTTGAAATAAAATGTACAGAACATAACACAAGTCATAATTGTACACCTCAATGACTTTTTTCCCAAACCAAACAGCCAGGTATCCCCAACCCGGATGAAAAAATAGAACAATACCAGTACTCCAGAGTTTCCTTTGTACTCCCTTCTAGTCAGTACCCTAAGGGTAACCATTTTTGCTATTTTTAAATTTTAAAATCAGCTTTGAGTTATAATTTACATACAATTTACTTCACCAATTGGAAGTGTACAATTTGATGAGTGTTGACAAATGAACACAGTTGTGTGTCCACTACCACAATCACAGAGAATATTTTCATCACCCCAGAAAGTTCCCTCTTGCCCCTTTGCCTTCAATTCTGTCCCTTTGTTACTGGTTCCTGGCAACTACTGATAAGCTTTCTGTCACTATAGTTTTGATTTTTCTAGAGCTTCATATAGATGGAATTGTATAGAATGTACTCTTTTCTGTCTGGTTTCTTTCACTGAATGCTTTTGAGATTCGTGCAAGTTGTTGCACGTGGCAGTAGCTTTATTGCTGAGCAGTATTATACAGACATACCAGAGTTTATGCATTCACCAGTTGGTGGGCATTTGGGTTGTTTCTAGTTGGGGGCTATTGTAAATAAAGCTGCTATGAATATTCCTGTACAAGTCTTTTTTTGGGGGGGGGGGCGTATGTTCTTGTTTCCCCAGGAATGGGATTGCTGGGCCATATGGGTAAGTGTATGTTTAACTTTTTGCCAAACTGTTCCAACATGTCTGTATCATTTTGCATTCCTGTATATGACATCCAATGGCTCCACATCCTCATCAGTACTTGTTATTGTCACTCTTAAATTTTAGTCATTTTAATGGGTGTGTAGTGGTACTGTTGTGCTTTTAATTTGTTTCCCTGATGATTGGAAATGTTGAGCATCTTTTCATGTTCTTATTTGCCATTTGTAATCATCATATATCAAATTGTCTATTCAGATCTCTTACCCATTTTTAATTGGGTTGTCTTTTATTATTTCTTTGATTTGCCTTTTCATTATGTTAAATGTCTTTGGAAGAGCAAAATTTTAAATTTTGATTAATTCTAATTTAGTAGTACTTTTCTTTTATGGTTTCCTCTTTGTGTTCTAAGAGATCTTTGCCTAACTTAAAATCTTGAAGCAGAAAAGAATACATAATTTATTTTCAATTGTAAAACAAGGCTATCAAAAGGATTTGCAAATTGTTACAAGCACAAATACAGTTTTCTCCAGTGTTTGGTGATTGCATCTAATTTTAATTTTTGACAACAGTAACTGTATACAAAATTTATCAGCTGTTGTATATTAATCCCTTGACACCTGAAATACTTGATTTGGCTTTTACTGCTTAGCTGGTAGATTTTTTTTTTTTTAATGCTCACAGTTATACAGTGTGTAAAGGTACTAAAGCAATCTGCTAAGTAGTTTATTACTATACAAATCATTTATTGTATAACATATATAAAAAGGAAGTATAATGATGTTTCATTATCTTAATCCTTATAGTCTGAAAGGGATGAGTTATGTTAACTAGTGCCTGTTCAGAAAAACAAAAGGGTCCTGTCTTTCCTAATGCCTCATATTGGGAAGCATATGAGGTCAATTTGTCCCGTTACTGCTGATGTTAGTATCGATCACTTGGTTAAGGTGATGGGCTACCAGGTTTCTCTAGGGTACAATTATTCTTCCTCCTTTGTTGTTAATATGCATCTTGGTGGGGAGATACTTTGAGACTCTGTCAACAGCCTCTTTCTCATCTTACCTTCACCCACTAATGCTATTCTCTTTAACTGAACATCTTAATGTTCAGATCTCTTGTTCTGAAATTCTTTCTTTGGCTACAAGTATTATAAACCTGTGAGCAGGAGACCAAACAACTGACTTGTGGAAGTTTAGTAGACCAGACATACGCATAAATGTATACAATGTTGTTACCAAGATGTGCAGGTGCTAGAGTGGTCACCCTTCCCCTCTGCCATCTCCACTGCAGCTCTCCTGTACTTCTGTTCTGTCACAGTTGTGCCTGGTGCCTGCCCTTAACTCCAGTCTCTATTTTTGCAGAGGTAGAAGGGCAGAAAGGAAGAGGAAAAATGTTTATTTTGATCACAGTGTGGGAAGAAATCTGTCTTCTCTCATTGCTAAGGTTGTGGTAGGGAAAGTGAATCTTTCCAATGATCTGAGTTAGAATTTTGGTTTATTTTTACCCATAAAAATATTTCACTATAACAAATCATTTGTCCTGTGTTTTCAAGTTTAAAAGGCTTTTGTTGCCTAGCTAAGAATTTAACTAAGGTTTACAAGATTGTTCCTAGAGGGCAGATGCGACCTTGGTTCCAAGTAAACTTCTTTAACAGTTCTCTTATTTATAAGCTTGAGGGTTGCTTGTATATATGAATAATGCATATTTTAAAAATATAGGTTATATACTTTTACCAGCTGTCATTTAGCAGAATAGTCTTCTAGCCTACAGTTATTTGTAATAATTTATCTCTGTGTATTTCTTAAATTTGAGGTACATCACATTAGGACCATCTAGTACAATGATCTTCAAACTTTAGCATATATTAGAATCACCTGGAAGTCATCTTAAAACACATTGTTGGGTCCCATCCTCGGAATTTCTGATGCAGTAGGTCTTGGGTGGAACCTACTGGAGAGAATTTGCATTTCTAACAAGTTATTTCAGCTTTAAAAGAGGGGGTAGCCCTAAAGATTTCTGTATGAATGGACACATTTTGCTATCTTTAATTTTAATTGCAGAGCATAGCTTTAATGTGGCTCACCTGACATATTTCAATGTTTTTTGACAGTAGAGTCCCTTGGTGCTTTTTTTTTTTGCATCCAGCTGATGTTAATGGATTAAGTTGTTTATGACATTGATAGCTAATATTGAGTTCTTATTCTGTGCCAGGCCCTATACCCTTTATGCTTTAGGTTAAGTAAATTATCCTAGGTCACTTAATTATTAACATGGGGCAGGGCTGAGATCTCAATCCAGGCAATCTGGATTCAGAGGCCAAGCTCAAAATCTCCACACTCTCCTTCCTATACAAATACACTGTGTCTGAAATTGAAGAAATGGTAGGTTATCTAAATTTTCTAGTTCTTGAAATTCCTTGCTATTTTAAATCAGATCTTTGTTAGTGGTATTTTGTTATTTTGTTTATCTCTGAAATCTCTGTGTTCATGTCAGTCTGTGTACCTCGTCTCCAAACTTTGCTTTCTTTGACGGGGGTGTGTGTGTGTGTGGGGGTGCTATTCATGTTTCCATTGTAGCTACAGCATTTTGTTTCATCTTAATATGTATAGCTGTGTTCAGAACTTCTTTCTGATATAGTGAGAGTGAATCCTCTTACCTTTCCTGCCTTATTTATGACCAGTCCTCTCCCCCGCCAAGCTACAGTCTGAGTACTGGGTTCTCCTTTCAGTGTTTTCTCTAGCCTATGATAGGAGAGCGGATGAGCTTGGTGAGGCGGAGTATAACCCTCGTTTAGAGTACCTCTGCTTTCTCTTCTGAGATCCTCTTACGTATCCTGTACTAGGCATGCCCAGCCCAAGTGAGTACCCAACTCCTTTGGGCTTTGACTCCCTCAGCCAGCTCAGCACAGTTCCTTTGAAAGATGGCGGGCTTTAGCAGCTGGTTCTTCCTTTGCTGGAGTCCTGCTGGGCTTGTATTCACAAGAGTTTTCCCTCAGTCTACTCACTTACCTTACATGTCTTATTGCCTGAAGGATTTTGTTGACTTACCTTCCTTGGTCTGTACTGCTTCTGGGATTGGGTTAAGGGCAGGAGCCATACCACACTGTGTCTACTACCAGAATTTGTGTGTGTGTGTGTGTGTGTGTGTGTGTGTGTGTGTGTGTGTGTGTGTTCCCTTGAAGTTAATAGCATAGTTTCCCCTTTTCTTGGTTGGTGGTGAATACTTTTACCCAGTGAAAACTGGGTGCCTCAGTTGGTTAACTGTCTGACTCTTCTTGATCTCAGCTCAGGTCTTGATATCACAGTTTGTCAGTTTGAGCTCTGTGTCAGGCTTTTGCACTGACAGCGCAGAGCCTGCTTGGGATTCTATTTCTCCCTCTCTCTGCCCCTTCCCTGCTTGTGTTCTCTTTCTCTCTCCCTCAAAATAAATAAATAAACTTAAAGAAAAAAAAAAAAAAACCAAGGCATACCTTGTTCATTGCATTAGGGATTAGGGGAGAGAAATTCTGTGTTTATGCTTCACTCTGTCATCTTGATTCATTTGTCTGGCCAGGCTCTTTATACATTGTTTCTTATGTTGGCCTTTGGTAAAAGCCGAAGTGCTTTAAATTGATTCACAGATGAAGTTTAGAGAAACCTAGAGTCAGAGAGGGTCATAATTTTCTTAGACTGGGCATTAGATGGTATTAGGAATAGCTGGGTAATGATACTGTGGTACGTGGAAGAATGTCCTTTTTAGGAGATGTATACTGAATTATTTTGAGATGCGATGTCATGTCTGCTATTTTTTTTTTGGTCAGTCAAAAAAAGGGGGGCAGTCTACAAAGTAGGCATATAGGTGTTTATTGATAGTGTGCTATCCATTCAACTTT